TGGTCTGGCAACTTGGGTGATGTCAGACAAACATACAAAACATTGCTGGCAGGTCTGATTATAATGTGTCCCAGGGATTAGACAAATAATATAGCCTAATATTAATTATCTTTGTATATAACATTATGCACAATGTGGAGGTTTCCATCTAGTTGCAGTATACCCAGCTAACCATAGCTTTCTCTGAGATATGCTTACTGTAAATCTAGGTTAGAATCATCATTTAACAACCTTAAAGCAGTTTTGTCTAGTAAGGAAAATGTGGGTTGTTTGGTAGCTGTGTGAAGAGCGAGCCAGGAAAATGAAACTTGTGTGAAGGTTTTTGCCCTGAATTCAGCCTGTCAGCTAGTTCTTCCTCCCAACAAGCTTTCATAAATCCAGTGTTAGGTTTGTGGTTTCAGGTCAGAGCTGCTCCAGTTTAGGTTTTGAGGTTAGAAATGAGATTTGAACTTGTGGAGCCTTGTTGGAGGTCAAACACAGCCACAGAGGAAGCGCTGCCTGAGAAACCATCTTCAAAAAGGAACAAAGCATGATCTAATATTAGTGCATTTGTAGGGAAAATGGTGGTTTAGTGTGTGACGAAATATTTCATTGATTGTTCAAAGTTGAAAATTTTTTTTCTGAAATATATCGGTGTGTAACAAAGCTGTTTGGCAATGGTTTGAGTTTTCACCAGTTTCTTCTGATAGTAGATTCTCAGTTTCCTGCAGGGACAAACATCAAACTGTATCTAGTAGTTTGTTTCAGCGTCTCTGCTGCTGCTGGCCACTGCTCTGTTCACTGTGTGTGTGTGTCTTCGACCACTGTCATTACCAGCTACTGGCCTCCGGGTGGGAGACAGCCACTCGAAGACCTCTCTCTCTGTCTTTTCACATTTCCATTAGTTTCTTTGTCCTGTCGTGCCCTCGGGTTGCTGTGTGTTGTACAGTGCCTCTCAAGGAACATGGACATACATTAGTGGCCCCCTCAATATCTTCTTTTTCTTTTACACCAGCAGGATTCAGAGCTTTTTACCAATCAGATGAGCGCCTCGTTTGTCCACTCGCTGACATAAAAAAAGTACGAGCAAGAAAAGATAAGATTAGATAAGATATCTGATGGTGTAAACCTTGTATCTCCATGTCTAGTGATTTCCCATGTTGTCAGATGTGTTCTCTATCGGCTCTATGGGTTGAAAACATTCTTCAGACCTGAACAATGGCTTATAAAAGCTTTCATACCCCACTGAACAATCACACACACTGCAGCTGCCTGTTAGTTCCTTTGAAGATGACATACATTTTGGACATAAAAGGTTTTCACCCGACAACAGTCTTAATGGTAGTACGTCATGGTGAGCAAAGCTGCCAGTGGTCAAAATTAATTTTATATTTGTCTACAGTAAAATAGATATGCTCTGCTAATGACATGTTATTCACTTACATTTTTTGGTTCCTTCTTAAGCCTAGTTCACAATACACGATTTTTAGCCCGATTTGCCAGTCGGTGAGCTCGGCTACTGTCAGGCTGTGATCGGGAGTAAATCAGTGTTCGATCTGTGGTCGCCAGTCGTTATGTGTGAACTACTCAATGACGCATCAAAAAGGCTCCCTGACACATTTTTGACACATCGGCGACGTCTGCCAGATATCTAGCATGCCAAATATCTGGAGAAGTTAGCCGACTCGACATCCACATCCAGCCAATGAGAGCAGGCAGCTACTTTTTCACTACAAAACACTTTTTACTCACCTCTAGCTTTCTCTGTAGCTCAGACAATCCCTGCTATCTGCGTGTGCTAATCCATTCTTTCAGCCATATTCTTTGTAATTACAATTGGTATCTTCATAATAACAAACAACAGCTGTTTCGTGTGTAGGTTCGTGTCATTTCCCGTTTCACATTTCACATGTGTTTTCTTGACAAAACGTGGTTTGGAGACCAGCAGCGGGTGACAGAGCCGCTGTCAGCTCGTGTAGTGTGTGACCCCCTGTCACCGATCAGTCATGTTGTGTGAACGCCTCCACGACTTCAAGACTCCCATCACAAGACGGCAAGTTGTGTAGTGTGAACGGCACGGCCATCGGCCAACGCTGAAAGTTGTCTAGTCTGCGCGAGCATCTTTTGTTGTGACACTGTGTGTAGGATGCATCTCATTTGCATATATTGTAGCCTTTCAAAACATTTATTAATTAGAAATAATCTTCACGATCCAGCTGAGAGTGAGATGAGAAGATTGATAAGATGTAACAGCGTCGAAAGCCTTAGAAAGATCCACAAACATTGCTGTATTTTGAACGGTGGATGTATAATTTAATTATGTTTCATCATGTATTGATGTCAGTGACATGAGACTGAAACTCAGTGAAGTGTTTCTTTACACTCTGTTGAGTCTCTTTTAAGTCTTGAAAGATGGAAGCATTTGCTTCTTCAGGTTTCTGTGGAGCATTGCCTTGCTTTTATCAGACACTAAAGAAAATATTTCGGCTTTTTCTCTTCAGTCAGGAATCACATTGTTGCTTGACTGCTGTGTGTGTGTGTGTGTGTGTGTGTGTGTGTGTGTGTGTGTGTGTGCGTGGGATTATAACCCACAGCTGGCCTCTCTGATTACTGACTGCATGGTCAGCCTGGATTAGACTCTCTCACACACATGCATCACAACAGAAAAGGTAAACGCACACACTTCAATTCATTTTGATGCTGAATGCTCAGTTTACTGACTCTCTCTTTGTCTGCATCTCACTTTATGTATGTGTGTGAGTGTGTGTATGCATTTACCCCTGTGTATGTGTGTGTGTGTGTGTGTGTGTAGCGTGTGTGTGTGTAATTCCCAGCTCAATAGAGCAGATATATTTAATCCTTCCCTCACTGAAGCTGATGTCAGCATCAGCTGGCTCTGTGTGTATGTGCATGCGTGTGTGTTTGTGTGTGTGTGTGCATTTTGTGGCTAATTCATCACAGTGGCAGATTAACCAGCTGTCTGCAGAACATAAAGTCGACTACTAACAACCAGCTGGAAGAGAGAGAGAGAGAGAGAGAGAGAAAGAGAAGAAGTGTGAAAGCAGTGGAGTCTCCTGGATAACTGAACATTGCCATAGGTTTATTGTATGACCACCAGATTCAAATATTTCACCATCATACCTTACAAATCATATTGTTTCTTTGTTTTGGTTTACTGACTCTAAATACTACAGTATCTAGTTTTGAAACTCACTTTAGAATAAATAGATAATTCAACATGAGTAGATGGAGATTCAGATATTCATTAATCATCATCATCATCACTTACAGGGTTGCATGTAATTATGCAGATTACTGCGTTGTTGGACTGTTAGCAGAAAGTAGTCTACATGGACGAAACTTTTCTGAATTTTTAAAGAAATTGCAGTTTCACCTTCATTTTTATTTTCATTTCGGACACTCAAATAAAATGACACAATGCAATATATAGCAAGCGGGAGTGATATCTGACACAACCACTGACATTTGTAATAACGCAAATAACTACAAATCTGATACTACAACATAAACCTTTAATGTGTTCATGAGTAGTTTTTCTATCTTGGCACTTAATTATATGGAAGTGCCCGAAAACCAAAGAAACATGGATTCCTCATATCAGCCAATTATTGCCATCTTGTTCATCTTGTCAACACACAGAATATTTAACCATGCTAGCGGCAGGGAATGTCGGCCTGTCCACCACTTTGTTTCAGACTAAAATGTCTCTATTGAATGGATTGACATTTATTGTACAGATTTTCATGGTTTTCAGATAATGTATGACTTTGGTGATCCCCTGCTTTTTCCTCTAGTGCCGCCATGAGCTTGACCTTTGATTATACTGTCTATACAAATATTGGATGGACTGCAGCTTTCAGATATTTTCCAACACAGTTGATAATTTTTTGTTCTGATGATCCAACCATGAGAGTTTCACACCAATTCAAGCCATAGTGCTAAAACTGTAAGTCATGTAACATTATCTATGTGAAAACTTAATTAATGGGACTTTTACTCTTGTAATCAGTGGTGTATAAAATAGCTCCCGCTCCACAACCGCTTCACAACTCCATTAAGATAACTCCAAGCTTTCTTGCATATTCAGAACACTTTGTCAACACAAAACACTGCACTGTAGCTGCTGTTCTGTTCTCAGTAGATGCCACAGGCTGACCCAAGGCTATGGAATAGGTTTTGAATGGCTAAATGTCAAGTCAGTTCAAGTCATTTGTATTTATATAGCCCTGATTTTCTCTCTGGTGCAGGCCCTATGGGTACCAGCAGCTGCCATACCATACTATGAAATATAAATTATCAAAAGGTAACAATTCCTTCTGTGCTTTTAGTCAAAGGTGTGCCATTAAAGGGCTAATGAGTTGTCCACATCTGAATCCCTCAAGTGAATTTTAATACAGTACATACAGTAGTAATGTATGTAGGTCAGGGCAATTAAGCTAACTGAATATGAGAAAACTGAGTGGGTGCATGTGCACGTGTGTATCCTGTTAGAAGTCATGTGACTTGGCAGAGCTGACAGGACAACAGATGGACACAGTCATGTATTGACCTACACACACACACACTGGACATTGGACACACACATATGTCATCCTTCCTCTCTCTCTTCTTATTCATTACTTCATCACTCTCCCTGTGAGCGTTTGATGCTTCACACTCTGCATCCGGTGTCATTCAGGCTTCACTCCTGTCCGTATGTCTGTCTGTCCACCTGTCTGCCCCTCAGTGAGTGTCTCCTGAGACCATTACTTGTTCCTGTCAATTTACATCCGCATTGGCTGTGGTGTTGTGTTGCAGTGTTTCTCAATATATCTTGGCTAATGTCTTGGTGAAAACATTTTTTAAAATCTATTTTATCAGCAGATTATGGTGTTTTTGACATTAGCCTGTGGGCAGGTAAATGATCATTTAAAATATCATACAACTACACTGTATGGTGTTATAAACTTCTTCTTCTTCTTCTTCTTCTTCTTCTTCTTCTTCTTCTTCTTCTTCTTCAGGGATGAAGACTCCTCTCAGCCCCTCTCAGCTCCTGGAGAGTGGGCAGATCTTTGCCTTTGGAGGGATGTGTCATGAACTGATGGACAGACCCATACCTACAACCATCAGTCTCTCTGTCCAGCAGACTCCACCCCCAGGTGATTGACATGTTCTAGCACCAACCAGTTTGTTTCCCCTACAGTGTCATTCATCCTTGTACTTTTCTCCTACAGTCTGACTCATCCACTTGTTTCCTCCCAGGTCAGGGTGGGGCCTACTCGCTGTGTGAGGTGTGTAACCTGCAGCTGACCTCTGCTGCTCAGGCCCAGGTGCACTACAATGGCAAGTCTCACCTTAGAAGAGTGAGACAGCTCCAGGCTGGAGAGACAGGACAACAGGCAGCAGGTACATTATCACTACTGTCATGTGATTGTAGTAGCTGTAGTATTTGCATGAGTAGTTTTCAACAATCAGCTTATGAGGAAATAATAAAATGTTTCAGCTAGTAGTAGTGGCATTAGTGTGAGCTGTATTAGTAGTAGTGGTAGAAGCAGCAGTTTTTGCAGCTGCGGTGGCAGTAGTAGTAGTAGTAATATTAATGATAGTAGCTCCAGCGGCAGTAGTTTAGTCTGGTCAGCTCCTTGTATGTTCTAATGAGTCTTGACTTCTTTAATTCCAGCAGGGGCTCAGTCTAGGTCTCTTCCCCAGCCCACAGGGCTCAGCTCCCAGCCAACAGGACTAACTCCGACACCAGGCCCCAGTCCAGGCGTCAGTGCTCCATCCAGCACGACTGCAGGTAGGACCAGTGCTGCTGTACTACTGCTTCTTCTGCTCCTGGTGTGCTGCACTGACAATGACATTTTGTGTCGCCTCACTAAGTTGCACTTGCACACACCACAAAGCCTACAGCTGGTAATAACTAGTCAGTAGTTTGTTCTCCTAACCCACATACAATTACAGACAGATTTGCAAGCTGTCATGGTAACCAGAGAAAAACTATGAACTAAACAGGACATTAATTTGTAAGGTCTGCTGAGCAAGAGTGACTCGGCTCAACCATCATCAACAGCTGCTGCCCCGTGGAAGAGGTCAGAATGTGCGTGTGAATGTTTGCGTGCTGGATCTCAGATTGACCCGTAAAAAGGATAAACTGACCTGCATTAACTCAGATCATCACTGCAGTTTTATACTCAGCCTCTGTATATTGTTAGCTCTACCCGAACACCTGCCAGTCATGGTGATGAGGAAGATTGTACTATTAGTTAGATTATCGTGAATTTTGCTCAGACTCATGGCTGGACTGAATAAATTACTACCCATCTAGTTGTGTTAAGTGTAACCAGAAGTAAATATATTGATTGTGTACAAATGTTACAGACTCGGTGGCTCATAGAGATAGATGGACTTTTTATATATATGGAAATTTATTTGCACCGTGTGGAGTAAATAAAATTATGAACCTGAAAATTAGCATGATAAGACCACTTTAAGCTAAGATAACTGCTTAACTGGCTGCTGACTGTAGCTTCATATTTAACACACGGACGTGAGAGTGGTATTGATATTGTCCTCTAAATCTCTGAATAAGCGTATTTCCCAAAATGTAGAACTATTCCTTTGACATAAAGATAGTTTATCTTCTTATCAGTGGCTATGGGGCAATGCACAGAATGATTCAGAATATGAGCATGTGGCTTTTCAGTTCCATATTATAGTGTGTCTATAAATTATTTTTATCAATACATATTCATGGTTTAATCATTGCAGTACTTCCAGCACCCTCTGCTGCTGAAATTACAATTGAAGCTTTTCACATTGCTTGACCCTCTTTGGTTTTGTGGTCAGATGTGACTGGAACAGTTTTCAGACCCAGTTTTTAAAGTCAAACTGCTGGTCAACAGAGTGAGAATATGCTGTGAGATGTAAAGGAGTTAAAGTGGAGCAGACAGCAGCAGGTCATTAAACTGGGACATAGCACTGCTCCAAAACCACACTTCCATAACCACACTAACATTTCTCATAGACATCGTTAAATTCACATGTATAGATTCTTTTCATTACATTATATTTGGTTTTAGTCCATTAATGTATATATGTCCACAAAAATCTCCTGTGAAAAACACAATGCAGAACTTGAATTGGAAATCTGCCGTTTTAGCCCTGAGTGGATCTGACTTCCAAGTTGGACTAGAAAAAGATAATATAACTTATATAATATTAATTAAAATAAGATAAATAAGTTTCAAAAATCAACAAAAAAGAAGAAGATAAGACAAGAAATAAAAAAACAAACAAACATAGACACGCACGCTTAATTACAGTATGTGAGATGATGATGTCAGGGGAGACAGGAAACCGAAAGACAATCTCACACTGACACATGAACACAGCTGTAATTACATACTGTGTGTCCATATCAGTGTACAGGCTACAATAACACTCGTTAAAGATGAAATCTCTCTCTACTGGACGTACACGCACCAACAAACATACACAAACACACACACACACACACACACACACACACACACACACACACACACACACACACACACACACACACACACACACACACACACACACACCACTCAGCCTGAATAGTCATGTCTCTCTCTCTCTGTCCATTATGTGATGCCCGCTCGACCATTAAAAGCTCTTTGGCCTGATCTCAGCTGCTCTAGGCCAGGCTGAGTGTGTGTGTGCGCGCACGTGTGTGTAACCTGGCTGGCTGAGCAGCCTATCAGCAGTCAGGTCAGATGACATCACAGCCAGTACAAACAGTTGTGCTACAGGGGGACAGTCGAGCTCCTCAATCAATGAAGTTCATCCTTTACTTAAGTGAAAGCATAAATACAACAGAGTAAAATACTTATTATATATGATATTACTGGATTACTATCACTGAGGCATTAATGTGTAAGCAGCATTTTAATGAAGGTGTAGCCAATTGTGAGTACTTTATACTCTTGGATAGTTTAATCTATAACAAAGCATCCTGTTTTATAAATCTATCATGTCTTTTTTTGTGTAACAAATTGATCTGTAAAGTAGTAACTATAGCTGTCAGATATATTTAGCGAATGGTATGGTATAATAAAAATGAAATGTAGTGTAGTTCTACTGCCCACACTATGTGTGTAGGTGCACAGCTACAGCTCTGCAGTAAGTTAAACACAATACCAGTAAAGGTTGAAGACAGGAGTTGCATTCAAGTATTTACTAGAAACAATTAATAAGACACAATAATTTCAACGATGGTCATTGCAAATAGGAAGAAAAGATGAGATGCCACAAATTATAGTTAGACCAAAGTATAGACTGTCAAATTAGTTACACTCATACCAGGAAGAAATCAATACCAGTTAAAGACCAACATTAAGTCCCCATATAAATAAATACAGAAAGTAATCTTGTACACATGCACATAGAGTTTGTGAGTGAAAGTACAAAGAGTAAAATACACAGCAGTTACTTCACTGCATCACATTAGCCTCAGCTTCGTTTTCACCACTGCCAAACACATACATAATGTACAGAGGTGAAAGCACACACACACTCAAACACATTTAAAAGTTAATCAATCAACTAAAGGTGCACCATAAAAATTCTTCACAGAAGCACTCGGAGAAGCAGAACGTGACCGTGTACCGTCACTACAATTGAGAATATGCTTCGACTGCCATAACAATGAGCCAGGCTCCTTGGTGTTGTGGTCAAGTTACATGTTTAATACCCTGTGGACCTGGGTTTGAATCCAGCTAGGGTGACTGCTTTTGCCCTTTGCTACAGAGAACCAAAATGTTATTTTAGGTGGAGCTGAGAGAGACGTTACTTTATTCTTAATAGTGGGGATATGCCATATACAGTTCCTGCTCTCACGGAGTACACTCATATCCTGGTTGTGTTGTCCCCTCAGTAGCAGTTAATGACCACCAGGAGGCAGCATACGCACTCATACACATACACTCAAACACACTCAGTCACTAATGAAAGAAGTGAATTCCCATGATCCACATACTCAGTGCAAATGAAGAGATTCATTCACATGAGACTAATAACATTTACAACATTATAGCTCCTCTCCTCTTCTAGTTTTCAGTATTTAGTGTGGGCAGAGTTGTTGCTGGGTACTCAGGACAACAACACTAATGCGCTTTGACTGTCTAACGCATTGTGCTGCAGTAAATATATGCTGAAGAATATCTTGTGTGAAATTTTTTGAGGAGGGTAGTGGAGTTTCTTTTTTCACGGGGTATAATGTCAAGTTTCCCTTTTAATGAGAACCTCAGTGTTCCTGTTTTTTTTTAGTACGATGAAGATCTTCGTTTCTTTCTTTCCTTTTCATGTGAGTGTGTGTGAGACAGAGCTAGCTCTAATTAGCTCTCCTGGGCTAATAAAGGTCATCATGTTGTCCTGCACGCATACATAATATCTAAAAATATATCTTATAATATCGAATATACAGTAAGACATACAGTTATTAATAGACCTGGATTGTCTAGTGAGTGAGATGGAGAGATTGAACAGGTGTTGATATGTGGTCTTGTGCTGGTGTATTCAGCAGCGTATGAATAGACCCTGCTGACAGATTCACACACTCATTGTGCTGTACAGCGGTGACAATAGGCTCAGAAGGGGAGGAAGGACGTGGGGCATCAAATATGACCAGATTTGAGCTGGTGTTGCCAAGTGACCCACATCTGTGACCACCAGTAGGCAACTTGTAATACAGGACTGGTAGAGGATTTTTCATCAACGAACTAATTTGGTGCCATAGTATAACAGCCTAAGTGTCTGTGGATCTCACCTCACTGCACAGCGAGCCGCTAACAGCAGCTTCATGGTCGGAGCAAGTTAGCTGCTGGGCGTTAGTCAACAACATTGCCAAGAAAATTTAATTTTTTAGTTTTTTCCTTTTTGCATGTCTATCAAGTCAATTTACATACCGCAGCAACGCGCGCGCGCACACACACACACACACACACACACACGGTGAGGAGCAGAATGGACTGTTCACAACTAACCACTGCGCTGTAGTAACATTATAACTAAATTTCCACAGAAAGCTTCATGAAAAACAGCTGCAGGCATCTGACACACTACACTCGTTAGTTAGGGAGCTTCAAATGAAGCGTACCGTTAACAGTTTCTCTCGACTGTCCCTCAGGATTACGTTAGTCCAGCATCGCCGAGGCTGCTTGCCACATTAGCCGCGCAACATGCTAACGCCAAGTTAGTTAGCAAAACACAGCATCCAAGTTTGAAGTCAGGCCATGTAGAGCCCATGGTGATCCGTCCTAGAACCATTCCAGAGCTCGTTACGGTTGTGGAACCTTTGAAGCACTAATTCATTAATTTAACACGACCTGCAGTTTAAAGTATGAACAATGCAGTTGTTGCGGTTATCGTGACAGCCCTAACCAGTGTAAAAAAACAACCAACATGTCCATGTGGGTTTAATGTGAGTTAAAATGTGTTAAGACTGTTGCTGTAACAGCAGGGTCTGGCGCGGACTAGTAGGAAAGTGGACTAGTAGAAACGATGTAGGACTAGTACGAGTTGTACGACCGGTGGAGGAAAACTTGTAATACTGGTGGGACTATAACTACCCATGGTACAGTATAAAACATAGAAAAGATAGTAATGAACTGGTTGTAGAGGACTTATAGACAACTGGTTGGACATGTAGATGACTGGTAGCACTGGTAGAGAACAAGAAGGATTGTTTTTCTTTTCCCGCTGGAACGCGGTTGGTTACTTTGCTAAATTATGGGTTTATTTATTTGCTGTTTTCCT